TGTAAATAATATATATATGTAATATATATATATGTAATAATATATATATATATATATATATATGATTCTTAATCTATATCTATATCTATATATTAATTATACCATATATATACATAAATTATATGTTTTATTTATGTATATATATATTTATATATATATATTTTATTATAATATGTATTTATATATATATACTATGTATGTATGCCTGGATATACATATATATATAATTAGTTATTAGCGTATGAACGTATTCCTTTTTAGGAGACTCATACGTACCTATACCATTACGAGTATGTGTACTCTTTTGTGCACGAATCATAGTATAAATGTATTATGTAGAAGAGCATCAGCAACATGAGGTAAATTAAACATATCAATTCACGATTCATTTACAGCTGTTAATGCTTGTTTGATAAAGTACTTAGTATATTGTCATACTTGCATTATATTTGTCATCCTTCCATTGAAACTCCTCATCTGACGATTGTCCACACCTGGTGATTTATATGGCATGCGTAAACACTTCTCTTCTAATATGCTCGGGTAATAACAGCCATATAACAAATACCAGTAGTTATCTTTTCATTCCTTTTCTTCAACGTCCTCGCATGACCGCCGCGGCCACTTCGACATGGCCAACTCCGTCATCTATTGACGTTCACGCACGCTCAGCTCTCGTGCTAGACACAATTGTACCATTCTCATACATTCACGTTTCTCAATTCTATCCTGAGACGCAATCATCCAGCGAGTTAAGTTTTAAGCTTAGGCGTACACCCTGGGCTGAGCCTATGTAGTCACGCGCACGCATAAGATCTCCACCCAATTGCTCATACCCACCCCCACACACCCCATGACTATAGGGCTGCCTGCCGTCTGTCTACTGCTGTGGTGACGAGGGGGGCACCGCCGGGATGGTGTTCCTGATCATCTTCCGGGTCATGCAAGGCCTGTGCACTAGTGGCGAGGTTGGGAACATGGCCACATACATAGCCGAGCAGGAGCACACTGGTGTGCTGGGCATGCTGAACGCCATCATCGGCTTTGGATCGTTCTCCGGCTTTGTCCTATCCAGTTCCTTTGTGTGGGTGCTGCAAACCGTTCTGACCGAAGATGAGATGCTGCTATGGGGCTGGCGCATACCCTTCCTGGTGTGTATCGTGCCGGGGTGTGTGACGCTGTTTGCCCGCAGGAACATGCAGGAGACGGAGACCTTCAAGCAGATGCATGCGGTTGCCAAGCAACGCACCAAGCCAACCGAGAGTGTCGAGGGAGGTGTTGGGTCTGCAACAGATAAGTCGGCGAAAGGCGCTAGTTTGGTTGCACTCAAGAACGATGAGAGTAAGTCGGATCTCCCCGGCAAGAGCACGACAGGTATCTCCATCGGCGGAAGCCCAAGCTCGGCTGATCTCGAGCACGAGGCACTCAGCAGCAACCCGCTCAAAGAACTCTTCACACACAGTCCCATGCAGACCCTGTTCGTGTTCCTGGGGATGGCTGGGTTCTCGAATATGGTGTACATTGGGTTGATATATAGTACTACATATCTGCGGGTGTACAAGGGCGTTGAATCCTCTACTGCCTTGGGTATGAGCGTGGTGGGCAAGTTGCTGATGTTGTGCATATGCCCGATCTTCGGGTACATGAGCGATAGGCTGGGTACAGGTACGTGCTTGTCGATAGTTGGCCGCGTGAGCAAGTAGGTCTAGGTACCTACCTTAACCGCAACAGTAGCGACCTTCAACTTGACTGTCTATAGACGTGTGTCTTTGTGACCTGATCTGTACTGTTACTCACCTACTCAGGATTATCACGTCACCTGTCCCTACCAACATGTACAATGCACCCCATTTATGAAGTGGACATATCTCTTGCACACTTCCCCTCCATTCACATAGTCCCTCTTCTCCAATCACCCTCCACCAGGCAAAGCCTTTGTGATCGGTAACGTGGTGCTGCTCACAGGCACACTGTCCTGGGCTGGTATGATATACGGCGACTCTCTCGCCGTGTTTTGGGCCATGCAAGTGTTGCTTGGCCTAGGCGGTGGCTTCCTTATCGCACCTTATCTATGGTGTGCAGAGGCCTTCCCAGCCCGTTTGCGTGCCACCGGGTTCGTGTCGTATAACGTTTCCTTGACCGTGTTCGGGGGCTTTGGGCCGTTGATCGCCTCTGAGATTGCGGCGACTGGACAAGACTGGGGCATTCTGGTGCTGAGTGGAGGCATTGCGCTGATTGCAGCCGTGTCTACGGTGGTTGCCTATGGCAAGCATTCGAGAGGGGAGGTTATTATGTCCAATATCCGACCAGAGATGTACTAATACTGGGCGCCAGGGTTTAAGAATATCCGCTAGCAAGTGTTGTACATGCGTGCCATACCCGACATTCCCTCTATGTACATGTATTGCGATGGGGAGTGGATGGTCACAATATAACAATGTCACAGGGTTAGGGCCTGTGCAACCATCTCACATGATGCGTTAGTTTTTTTAGTACCGTATAATATTGACGTTCGTCAATTAAATAAATATTAGTATATGAAAATGGAGTATCAAAGCCTTCATACATCGAATGACATCATGAAATTATCATTAGAGGTTATAGATATCGGAAAGGGTTCTATTGATTGTTTTAGGGGTTTAGGACCTTGCTAAATACAGATAACGGAAAGGGCCTTTAATTTTCAGAGCACACTGTACACAGATATTTTGGGAAGCAAGTTTGATTATGAAGAAGAATTAATGATTATAATACATGTTCCGAAATTGAATACTGTGTCTGTAAATAGAGCATACATACCGGACACTTGACCACATTGCCATGATAAACCGATGCAATATATTCCAACCTCGGTATCTGTAGTCTATAGGACACTTTATATTTTCTTCTTCTTCTCACTTAAGAACTTCTCACAGATGTCAGGTTTTTGGGTTGTCTCTAGGCCCCTAGGGTTTGGGGTTTGTTTGGGTTTTGGGTTGTACCTAGGGTTTCAGGGTTGGAGGTTCTCAAATCATATTCATCTGGCGTGGTGGCTGCAGTTATATCTCTGTCCTGACACGCCCTGACATGATGGCAGTTATATGCAATGGTAGTGATCATAACCCCCTGAATGTTGAAGTTCTAGGAGGCTGTGGAATGGCCAAGAGGATGACCACTACATTTGTAAGAATGGAGTGCAGTCGTGGCAACATGTGTTCATATTCAACTTTATAGATTCGATTGTTGGGTGCGTCGTATAAATATGACTACTATATTTGTAAGAATGGAGTGCAGCCATGGCAACATGTGTTCATATATTTACAACTTTGTAGATACGATTGTTGGTTGTGGCAAATAAATATATTACCGGGTGTCATACATTATTTATACTAAATTTCCACGAAGTTGGTCGAAAACTTTCGAAGCTCTCCTCATATGAGACCAGTTGCGACTCAACATCCGGTCTGGTTAAAGTATGCAATATAGCCTCATCTTCTCACTTTGTTTATAAAAATTATTACAAAACAGAAAGTATTGGATAGGTCCGGTTGCATCTGATAGATGAATAGGATATACTTCTACTTTTGTATGTGAAGGGTAGCATCCTCATTTGCTATACTTCGTATCACTCACGAGTACCCTACACGGCCAACCATGGTGTGAGACTCGTTATCAGCAATCCGGATTTAAAAGTAGCTATGGCCAAGAACATGTTGAGCATGGGATGTTGTAGTTTTTTCAGGTTTCGTCAGTCATATGAGACTTGGATGTGCCATAGACAACGGGAACGGTGGTTACCGCTAGTACATGTACATGGAGTGGATATCTAAAAATGAGCAGCCCCGCGCCATTCCGAGCGCTAATATGTATTTATTGCGGCAGGTGTGAACGGGTTTACTCGGGATTGTATTTATTGCACTCAACCCAATCCTGATCATAGGAGCTTTATTTCATATATTAAGGTCTTGTTTCACACATATATATATATCTGGTGGTACGTTGTTCGTTCCAGATTCATATTTCATATCTCATATTTTGTAGGTCACAATTATCCATCCCACGAGCACCCTCTCTGGCTGGGAAGCCCCTTGCAGCACCTTGCACGTCTTAAATAATAGACGCTAAGTATCGTAGCCTTCATGTACTCAGAAATGACTCACAACCACAGCGTAAACTAAGGTACCGGTCATCCCCACTCCCCCATCGCGCGCAGAGGGGTCGAACTCACGTCTTCAACTATGAACTCGCAATCAAGAGCACGGAGCTGCTAGCCGGCGTATTATTGGCTACCGAAGCGTTGGAGTTGGTACCAGCTCCTTTAGTGGTAGCGGGGTCGGTGTGAGAAAGCAAGTCGTACTTGCAGGTGGGACAGTTGGTGCTCTGTGCCAGCCACTGGTCGATGCATGCTGTGTGGTATTCGTGCTTGCACGGCAACTGACGTAGACAGTCCTCGGCTCGTTCCTGCTCAAGGCAGATAGGACACACCTCACCTTCCTGAATGTGCAAATAGAAATATAGGATTTAAGTATATGTACAAATACACACAAATCAACATATATATATAAATACATATATACATATATATATAAATATATATATATATATATATATATATATATATAATATATATATATATATATATATATATATATATATATATATATATATATATATATATATATATATATAATAATAATAATATATATATATATATATATATATATATATATATATATATATATATA